CGACCCACAGCAGCCCAGCTCCAGGTTGAGCTGTTGTTCAGCATCTTAGCTGTGGAGGGCAGTGTCACTGGCCCTCATATGTGAGATCCGAACCGGGGCCCTCTGGCGTCCCAAGCCAGTTCTTAACCATCGCGCCACTCGGTCGGCCCCTATTAGATTTAGTTTTACTTAAATCTGTAAGAAGAAAAAGTTTATCCTATGATATGTTATATCCCAAAAGATCCCTGTAAGAAAATAGATAATAAAAACTCCTCAAAGGTTGTCACTACTGTGTTGTTGCATTTTCTAATGTTATACACTTACATTTTCATTCTATGATATATATATATAACGTAGTGAAACTCTTACATCCATCACTCACATGTCTCCTACCTATTTTCATTGGTTTAATTTTTACTTGTTCAAGATACATTTATTATATTCTCTCCTGCAGCTGTAATTTCCCTCAGCTTTCGAATTTAGATCTTGGTTCTGATTATTAAAGAGATTGAGTGCTTTTCAGCAATCCCTCAGCTATAGCTTCTTCATTCTGCAGTTATTTTGACTGGTTTTTTTATTTGACTGAATTTTCTTGTTTTTTTTTTTCAAGAAGGGCTTATGGGTTCCGAATTCTGCAATGTTTTCATGTTTGAATTTTATATCCAAGCAAATTTCCTTTCATGTGAAAAGGGAAAAAATTCTATTTGTGTACCATTACTGAAAATAATTACTTAGCGATATCAAAATTAAGAACTTAGGAAGGGAGAATGCTGATTTAAAGCAGTGACTGACTCCAGCTTGAACGAGAATCACCTGCCACTCTTGGCTGCCATGTCCTAGGGAGAATCACAGTGCGGCAGATCCCATTCATTGACCACTTCTTTAATGGGTCTCTGGTTCTTAGTGAATACTTTAAGAAATTTCTCCAGGAAACCTCCTATTCAAACAGCCCATTTAAATATGATTATTACCCTATAAGGAAAACCTCTGCATGCTTGCGAGAAAGATTGAAATCTTGGATGAGGTACTATTGGTGACTTGTTTCTTCTTTTGACTTTTCCTTATTTTCCAAATTTTTAATAACCATGTGTTTCACTTTCAACGAAAAAGGAAACTTTACATTTAAAAATTTAGCATCTTGAGGAAATTACATTAAAAATATAAATTTCAAATTCTTCATTTACCTCTAAGGCAGTCAGATAAATGTTTACTGAGTGTTCAGCTCAGCACCCGTTCAGCTCAGAATATGGGCCTCAAGATCTCTTCTAGGTATTTCCCTTAAACATTTTTTATTAACTGAATTTATTGATTTTAAAATATCTACTGTTTGGGGTTTACAAAGTACCTTAAAAGTTGAAAATTTGACCGGAATATACAGTAATCACATTATTTTCTAATTTAATATGTATTATCAGGGTATTAAAGCAATATTATAATTTTATAATATAAATCAAATTTAAACTAGCTGTTATAAAATTTCCATGCAATTTATATTATTGCATTGATACTATGCCATCTTGATACACACTACTTATAAAAGTGTGCTTTGAAAGCACACTTAATCTCAACTAAAATGCTTCATGTTATCAGCTGCTCTTTCATTCATTTAAATATTCCTTGTTATTGCTGTGAATATTTAAAAGAATAATTTATTTAAAGGTAATAAAGTTATCCCAGTCCACATCTCACATTTATTTGGCCTCCATTTGACATGAATCTTAGGTCAGTTAGCATTCTGTGTCAGATTGAGTAATGTTGTTGATTATGGGCAATAGTTCTGAGTTCAGTGAAACAGCTCTAGTGTTACACATCAGCCTGTTTTGAGATCATTTATTTTATTGTTTCTACTGTAGTCATACCTACTATTACATAATTGCTGAATAGACTGTCAGCTTGGTTTGCATTTGTGGTGTTTTTATCTACTGTTTATAATATTTAGAGATCTTATCTGAAACAAAGCTCATCAAGCCTGCAGCATTGGCTAAACCAGCTCCCCAAACTGACAGTTGCCTGGCTACTCCTAAGAAGCCTGAAGACCCTGCAGAAACTGATTCCTGTGTTCAGTTACAGAATGTAGGTATTGAATTTCACACTAATATTCATAATGTTTTTATGTTCTAAAATCATATTAAAGCGAAATTATAAATAATAAATATATGAAATATCTTTTGCTTCAAAGGTAATATTCTAATCACTCTTATTGAATACTTAGTCATCTTTTGTTTAGTAGAACATTATTAACCTTGTTGTTTTTATTCTTTGTGTGTGTGGGTTTTTTAACCTACCTGTGTTTTAGTCTTATATGTAAATCTGTAATGAAGTAATGCTTTTCCTTAAAAGGATTCCTTAGGATGCCATGTTGGGAACACAGAGACAGAATTAATTATGTTTACAAGAGTTCAGGAAGCAGAGGAAAAATGGAGGAATGCACAAGCCCTGATTGAACAAATTAAAGTCACATTCTCAGAAAAAGAGAGAGAGCTGGAAAATAAGATGGAAGAACTAAAGAGACAACAGGAAAAGGAACTCTTCAAACTGAATCAAGACAATTATATTCTTCAAGTCAAGGTACTAGGCACATCGTCCCATTTTTCCTCTTATTGATTAAAAAAGAACTTGTACTTCCAGCTAAATGCATTGTCATCCGTTGTTCCTGGGGCTGTGTTGGCTTGATGTATTTGCTGTATAAAACATGAGCAAGGTTCCCGAGAGTGCCTCCTTACAGAAGAGCCTAAATCCAACCTGATGGGAGAAAGAATTGAAATTTAAATTGGCTCATTTTGATAGTTTTCTTCTCTTAGCAGTCCTTTTTAAAACAAATCCTTTAGTTCACTATGATCTTCAAAGAAGACAATTCAGAAAGAACTGCTATAGAAGGTCTAGATTCAGAGAATGACACTGTAGCATTTCTGAGTTACTTCCATCATCAGTACCATCAGCACAAAACACTGTAATGATTTAACTGTAGTTGGTATTAATTCCAGTGTGGCTATAAGACAGTTTTAGGTTTACACACCTTGGGTTTTCTGTTATTTTCCCTCACTTCTCACTTTTTCATTTCCTTCCCTAAATAAAATAATTTCTGCATTTTCTCAAAGTTAAATAGCTTTGAAGAAACAAACAAAAAACAAAGATGGCTACAGTTTAGAGAAACAACTGATCCTGTCACTGAAGAAAAACTGAAGCAAATACAAAAGGAAATACAAGAACAAGAGACACTTCTTCAAGGATATCAACAGGTATGGCGATTCTTCAGCATATATGAGTTTGTTCTTGAAATCCTTCAATTATAATAATCAGGCATATTAAAATATTTATGTGCTCATGTAACAGGTAATGGAAGTTCTGGCAAATGTAAGGAAGTAATACTTTGACTAGTTTGCACATTTCTTATGGGCAGAATTAAAGTGGTTAAGAGCGTGGGTTCTGCTAAGCGAAATAAGTCAGACAGAAAAAGTAGAAAGCCATCTGATTTCATTGATATGTGGTATATAAAACTGAAAACAACAAAGGAACAAGACAAACAAGTGAAGAAAAAAACTGATAGACACAGACAATAGTTTAGTTGTTACCAGAGTGTAAGGGGAAAGGGGGAGGTAGATGAGGGTAAAGGGGATCAAATATATGGTGATGGAAAGAGAACTGACTCTGGGTGGTGAACACACAATGTGATATAAGGATGATGTATTACAGAATTGTACACCTGAAACCTATGTAACTTTTCTAACAATTGTCACCCCAATAAACTTAAATAAAATAAAAAAAAGTGGGTCTGGATTTAAAGTGTCTGGTTTTAGACTTAGCTCCACGACATGCTGTGCAGCCTTGAGTGAATCACTTCACCTCTCTAAGCCAATTTCCTCATCTGTGAAATGGGGGTGATAACAATATTACCTGTCTCATAAGATGAAATAAAAATCACACAGTGCAAACCAGCCTTTTAGTGCCTGGTACAGAGTAACCAATCAATGCATGTTGCCTGTTACTATTTTTAATGGCCATATTCCTTAGAAGCTTTCCTATTTGTCATGAGTTTCCTATAATGCATTTCAGTAGATAATATGGGCTAGTTTTGATATTATGTTAAAAAATAAGAACCTGAAATCAGTTGAGAGTGAAAAAAAAAATTGAATTAAATGGGAGAAAGTGTGTGTGTGTCCCCCAGAGGCAGACATGTGTGATATGTGATGGAATCTTGGTGATGTTTACTTGACAGTCAGCCGGGACAGGTTTAGTGATCTCCAGCATGAGACTTCATCTTAGTTTCTTCTTCCCTCATACACACGTTACCCTTTTTCCTTTTGACAACCACAGCCTAAGCATTGAGCCTACTGATAACAAGCATTGTCAGCCAGGGACATCCCAAAGACAGTGTAACCACATCAGAGATTACAGCATTTGTGATAAATGAAGTAGTACTGATTTTGCAGGACACATTGCCCTAGAGTCAGTGAGACCCTCCCAAACCCTTTGCCTGCCATTCTGATCATATTGGATAGAGCAAGGAGGATCTCACAGACCTCCAACTTGCCAACCACCCCCTCCCACAAAGATAACTCAAAATTTATGTATCAACGTATATATGTTTATGTGTTTTTCTGGGTTTCATTAATTCTGCACATATTTAAGCACAGACCATCTGCCAGGCACTAGGCCAGATACAGTGAGATGGTTCCCAGTTTTCGTTCGATCCTCAAAGATCCTTGGTGTTCATCAGATTCTTAATTTTAAAGAGGCTAACAAGCCAGAGCACCTATGCACAGATTGGTACGTTCTCCCTCTGACCTCAGTGTTTGAGTCACTCTTTAGCTCAAGCCTGGTGGTGAACTGGGTCTAGCTTCTGCTCTGCCTTATGATCTTTCAGAAGCACCCAGTCTCTAACTCCCTGATCACAGAAAGTTCCAGAAACAAGCATGGACACTGATTGTGGCTACATCAAATTACCTCACCATGGGAAGCCAAGCCAAAAACAGAAAAAAGAGAGTGCAGAGTCCTACTGGCCTTTCCATCCTGGAGCACGGAGTCGTGACTTGGTTATTCTGTAGTCACCCATTTACGCCTGTGAAATGCAGTACCTTATACTGACATTAGGCCCTTTGGCTTTGGGAATTTTTGCAACTTTTTTTTTCGAGTGAGCATTTTGGAAAGAATTGTTTTTAGCTAATAGGTTTTCTTCTGAGATAATATAAAGAGTTTGAAGAAGATTTTGCTTACTTAAAAACTGAAGAAATTTTAAAAACCTTAAAAATGTTTAAAGGATGTATCTATTAGTATATATACTTACGTAAGTACTACTGACTTTTAACTAAAATGTAATTTGCTATTTATAAAAAGGAAAATGAAAGACTGTATAATCAAGTAAAAGATCTCCAAGAACAAAACAAGAAAAATGAGGAACGAATGTTCAAGGAAAACCAGAGTTTATTCAGTGAGTTAGCATCCTTAAAGTAAGTACTTTTTAAATCTTAGAATCAAATCTACTTAGACTGTTTCTAAGCATTTTATTGTTATGTTACTAATACATTTAGTTATACTTAGAAAAGACAAAATTGCCATTCAAAATTGATTTATAATTTTGTAACTTATATTTTTAATATTCAGTAGATTTTTCTTTTGGTGTTGGATAACTACTACATACTGTAGTATTTTTAGCATATTCATATTTGAGGTTGAGATCAGTTTCAGAAAATTGAACATACTCTTGATCGATCATTAAATCTGAGATGCTTATGTAATGCATTTTAGTAACAATGCTTTTAGTAATAATGCTAAAAAAAAAAATACCGTACGGTATCACTTAATATCTTAGGTCAGGTTCCATATAAGTAGAGCCTGAGATGGAGATCCTTGTGGAGGTGTTTTCCTGGACGATAACTCTGAGGAGAACAGGAGCAAGAGAAGCAAGGTGGGAGGGGCAGGTAGAGGGAGGGAAGGTGAGTAAGAATGTGTCTCAGCTGCAGACAGGCTCCATTCTACTCTCGCCAGAAAGCTCAGTAGAACAGATTGCATCACATGTTTGTCCCCAACTTGAGGCATGAGGGGCCAGCCTTTTGTACGCCCAGGCCTGTCAGTGACTGGCTAAGGGGCACCCCAGGATGGGGGTGGTGTATGTCCTGTGTGGGAGGCAGCCTCGTGTAGCCCTAAGCCAATTTGTCAGTGGCTGAGGTGTGCCCCAGGAAGCAGTTGAGGGATGTCCTCTGGGCCAGGGGTCAGGAGTTGCTGTTCGGCTGAGGCCTTTCTCCAGGGGAGAACCTGTGAGTTGTTACTAACACTCACCATGGTGTACTGATAGAGCACCATCATTCCCTTAGGAATTGTATTTCAAGCTATAAGGTCTTTTGGGTATTACACATCCAACTTTAACATTAAGTGAAAAGGCTGAACCCACAAACATGGGCATGCTAGGGTGCTCTCTTCTTTTAGGAAGTGACTACCAGTTGTGCATCTTTTCACATAAATACCTAATTACTCAAGACTGCTATTACAAGAACCGTTTTTGTTATGAATGTCATGAATGCTATATTCCCATAGGTCTTCCATTTTTGTGTGTGTGTCGTTATTGTTGTTAGATAACCTAGGGTATAAGAGGTAGGGCTGCTGTTACAGGCTACTGATCTTTCATGGAAAGAGGAAAAAAGTATATCTTGTAGCAGACAAAGCTAGAAAGTACACAGGTTGGCAAGCAAGCGCACTTTTGCATAAATTAGAAAAAAAAATCACTCTCCTTTCTCCTGCTAAGTGTGACTCCAGGTTAAGGATAATGATCGCTACAGTTCTGGGGCATGCTAATATTTACTACTGCTTTCTTCCTAGATGCTTCAACAAAGTATTTCAAAATATCACATCTTATACTGCCTGGCTTTTAAAATAGAGATCTATTCTAGGATCCCAAACTGAAACTCTAAATGACTTCCACAATGAAATAAATGGTTTCTTTAGTACATTAGGTTTAGATGATCATATATGGATTCTTAATCTCTTTATATAATGTCTCTGGAAAAGCAGAAAAATTGATTGTAAGATACAAATAGTAGACTATGTTTGGTTTTGTTTGTTAGTTTCCATGTGTATGATTGGCAGCTTGTGTTTCTCAGAAAGGAACCTAGAAAGATATGACAAGGAATACATAGCACCACAGGAAAAATGTAGCATATCTCCCTGGGACATTGATTTTTTTTTTCTCTGAGAATTGGGGGAAAATATTTTTATAGTTACATTATTTAACTATATATTAAATAAACCATTATAATCTTAAGGTTTCACTTCCTTTAGATTAAATGTAAACATTTCCCTTAAAATATATTTCCCTTTAAGTGGTATTTTATTCTTTAGATTAAATAAACTTTTTATCTTCAGTGATTCACATAGTTCCAACATCCATTAGAGTTTTTAATTTTTAAAAATTGAATATTTTGTATTGAAAAGAGTATCTTTTAAAAACATATTTTTATTTTCAAAACAATCAATCAGAGAACAGATGCAGAGAAGTCGTTTCCTGTCTCAAGTAGCTGAAGAGCCTACCAGAAACCAAAATTTTACAGATCTGGTAGCAGAACTACGGATGGCACAGGTAAGTTGCTTAAGGATTTTAACTATTAGCGATAGTAAAGGTTATTATAAAAATTCCCATATGTGTAAAAAAATCTCTTTTTGTAATTTATGAATAAGTAAGATCTGTGTATAAATTTTATACCATTTAAAAATTAAGAAATACCAAAGAGTAGCATTTCACATACATCTGACTTTAAAATATAGGAAACAGTGTAACACTGGTTTTGTAATCCAACATCTCTTCAGGCATTTATCACATGGAGCCATATTGGAGGCATAACCTTATTCAGGGCATATATACCTTTTTTCAAACAAATTCGTCATTGAAAATGTACATCTAAAATAGGAAAATAATTTTAAGATATTGTTCACCTTAAAAAGTTAGTTGGCTTTTTACTTGTCTTCCTAAGTGGACTATGTATGCACTTCCAGGGGCCAGAGACTATATCTATAAATATTTGTATCTGACTTATCTAACACAAAGGTAAAATTCAATAACTGCTCCCTAATTTTTCTTTATTTTTATTGATTCTATTAGGAAGAATATGCCCTAGAATTTTCTAGAGCAATATTTATCAATGGGAGATTATTTGGAATTTTGGGCAGGTTAATTCTATTTTAAGCGGAACAAAAATCATGTATTGCATGATTTTTATCATCTCTGTCCCCAGGAACGATGTGCTCATAGCACTCACCAGCCATGGTAACAATTAAAACCACTACCACATTTCCACACATCCCCTGTGGGAGGACGGTTATTTTTCTCCCCTTGCCCTCCGATTAACAACCATAGCACTAAACTAAAAAGCTGTTTCAATCTATTTCAATGATTATGTAAATTAGAAAAATTCCAATTACATACCACTTTTTAATTAGAAATTTTTTATATAAAATTAGGTTACATAGAAATTTAAACTTAACCATAGTTTAATAAGTGATCTTTAACAGGTTTTTGTATTCTATAAAATGCAGCTTCAAATATGAATCCACTAGAGAACTTTCTGCACGTATGTACAGAATGATTAGATAGGTAGAGAGGTAGGCGGAAAGTTAAAAAGAAAGAATACATGATTGAATGCTCCTCCTTATCAGTGGGCCTCAAAATTAGCAAGTTATAAAAGAACCTAATAATATTGCCATAGTTTATGAAGGCTTAGAAAAACATGGTAAGGTTTCAAACATAGCATTAACTCCATTCAAAGGCAATTATTAGTGACCTTTTAAAAGTGCTGTTTGGAGCATATTTTTCTGACAAGTAGGAAACTAAAATTGCCACTAAAATCACTGGAAAATGCTGGAACTAAATACAATAAACATCTTGTAAATGCATAACCAAGCTCTCCAGAAAGTAAGGGAAATCTCTAGGGGTCAGACATGAACAGGGATAAAAACCTGGCAGGAAGCGTCTGCTCCTAGGCTGTCAATTCAGTAACCACAGGGCTTGCGCTTTAACAGCAAAGTGGAAACAGGGCATCCAGGAGGTCAAAGGGCCACATCCTTCCATGAAACAGTGGATTGGGGAAAAATCCACTCACCTTCATAAAGGGCTGAGCTATCAGAAAGCTTTTCTGTCCTAACTTAATCTCCAGATAAGGAGGGGGAAAAAGTCTCATCCGCTTGTGCCTGTGCTTTAATGGTGGTTCAATATAAATGTCATCCCTTCTGCTTTTATTTGTGTCTTAGTATTTGAATTGACATTACCCTCAAGGGTTGGTTATGCTCTAACTGAAAAACAAAAAACACAAACTGTGATACTTAGTCAATAATAACCTCTGTTTTTAGAAGAAACAAATACAAAACAACTCTTAGAGGTATACACCCTTAACTCAATTCACAAAGTATCCACACAGATAAAACCGTGCTGACATTATGCTCACAATGCCGTCACAAAACCCAGAGAAACAATCCACCATGAGCAGGCATGGGGCAGTTTAATAAACGGCATGATTAAAACCCCAATAGAATTACTGAATAGACTTAAAATAAATTGAGTTAAAATGATTGAATACACAAAATAAATGAGAATGTATGAGGAAAGAAGAAAACAGACTAGGCAAATTCAGAGAAAAACAAACAGCTCTGGAAATATATTTCTGGAAATTAAAAAATAAGTAGAAAAGTTAAATAGATGATCATACACAACTAAGGAAAAATTCGTAAACTAGATGTTAGATCTAAGGAACCTAAAGCGAGACAAAAATAGAGAAATGGAAAAATATCAGAAATATGAGATGCTATAATACATATTTAAATATTTTTGAAAGGTAATGGCTGAGAATATTCTAGAAATTAAAAGGGAGGTTTCTCAGATTCAGGAAACACAGTGAGTCCTTCTCAGGATAAATAAGTAAAAATGTACATCTAGCCCCATCATGGTGAAACTACCAAGGGCAGAGAAAACCTTAAGAGAAATTAAAAAAAAAAAATTTGTTGAAGATAAAATTAGTAAAAATTATTTAGGGATTTGTTTATTTGTGCAAATGCTGAAAGATGGAATGTAAATACATCTTTATTCACTTTGGTATTCAGGGTTTAAAGAAAATTTTTTTTTTTAAAGATTTTTATTGGGGAATTGGGGAATGGGAACAGTGCTGGGGAATTGGGGGAAGAGGAACAGACAAGTTGCTGTCCTTTTGTTCTTCAGTCTAGTTGTGGAGGACGTTGCTTCACTGGCCCAAGTTGGCACCATCATTGCGCTGTTCCCGGGCGAGGCAGATCAGTTGCCAGCTTCTGGACGGCCACTCACTGCGGCTGCTGGCCACTCATGCTGGCTGCTGGCTACACAGGGTAGCCCATGGCAACCCACTGCCACAGGCGCTGCAGCCTACGCTGTCGCTGGCGAGACACAGCAACCCAGCTCCAGGTTGAGCTGCTGTTAGCTGTGGAGGGCAGTGTCACTGGCCCTCATATGTGGGATCCGAACCGGGGCCCTCTGGCGTCCCAAGCCAGTTCTTAATCATCGCGCCACTCGGCAGGCCCTTAAATAATTTTTGAGCAGAAATTATTCATACTGGCTAAATCTACAATATAATAATATTCATATCAAGTATTCTTATGTACAGTCTAATTTGTACCATAAAAAGTAATACTAAGTGGTTTAGTCTTAACATGTGAGTTGGTTCTTTATAAACTACGGATAGACACGTACTAAAAGCAAAGTTCCTGAGCCCTTTCCTCTTAGTACCCCACCCCGGGCAACTTTGATTTGGTCAGCCTTTATCAAGCACCTGCCAGGTGCCGGCACTCATCCTGGCATTGGAAAAACAGTAAGTAAACAAGGCAGGCATGGCCCTTGCTCACTGGGAACATATATTCTAGCGGGGCAAGACTGACAATAAATAAACAAATGACATAATTACACATAGTGGTAACTTCTTTGAGGAAAATATAGAGGATAGTGGTGGACAGGGCAGGGCTCAGGCAGCATTCAGTCGTGTGGTCAAGGAGGCACACTCTGAGCAAGTGATGTCAGAGTTGAGAGCTAAAGAGAAGTAGCAGCTAACCATGGGGTGGGGGGTGTGTGGAAAAAGTCAATCCTTCCAGCCGGGGGAAAGCACAAGCCCTGAGTCAGGAATGGGGTTGCTGCCTTCCAGAAGCAGAAGCCTCTGAGGCAAAAGTGGGTGAGTGAGGACAAGAGTGGTAGGAGATAAAGTCGTAGGAGATAAGGCCAGAGAGTCAGGCAGAGACTCCCTCTGAATGTCTGCAGGTAACTTACAAGGGAGGGAAAGTATTTGCAGCCAAAATCCCTGTGCCCACAGGATTGACACGGGGCATTCTGGTTTTCTTAAAGGTGGGAAGTTTCCGTCCCTGGACAGATACAAGAATAAAGTGAATGTCCATTTAAGCAGTGATTGCACATTTGAGCTCAAGATATTTCAATTTCCTTTGAATTCTAAAATTCTGTAATTCTGTGAAGTACGCACTGTTAGAGAACATTTCTAAATTGATTGGACTAATTAAAAGGCATTTGCAAAAAGATACCTGAGCATTCAGAAACTTGAAGAAACTCAGTGCTCTCCTGAAAAGATATCTACAGAAGATGAAACAATAAAATGATGCAGTTAAATCTTTGATGCAGCTAGAAACCAAGATTATACAATAATTTAGGAATGGATTGTTTTATTAGACTGGATTTTAAATTTGTAAGGCAGCATAACAGAATTTGTAAGAATTATTATTTTGAAACTTAACTATACCAAGTGTACTGTCAGGAGTTCAAAGAGTTTTTTCAGCAGTTACAAATTCATTTCAATGTACAAGGACTTTTATTGAATATCAGTCATGTGCTTATTCTCAAAAGTATACAGGTAATAAGAAATCATTTTTGGTCCCCGTAGAGCTTTCAGCCTAATAAAGAGAAGAGGCATGTACACAAATCAATGTCATATGAAACAAAGTAACAAATGCTGTACTAGAGGTACAGTGAAAGTTTGTGGGAGCACAGAGGAGGATTTGATTTTATCAGGAATAGCCTCATTTGAACTAAGTTTTGAAGGATAAGTGTGATTTTGCCAAGCAGCAAAATGTGGACCATTTTGAGTAGGGTGAAATAGAGGGCATATTGAGAATTCATTCAACATGTTTTTGATGTGCCAAGCATTTTTAATGCATTTATGAAGGGTTAGCAAAATAAAGTCCTGCTTTCAAGTAAATATATAATATGTTAGGTGGTGATGAGTGTTGTGAGAAAAAAATAAAGCAACATACCTGGGAGCCAGGATGGGGGTTGCTGTTTCAGAAAGTGATTAAGGAACATCTTTCTGGGGCTTTATTTGAGCAGAAATCCTGATGAAGTGAAGGAACAAGCCACCTGGCTATCTGGGGACAAAGTGCTGTGGGCAGGGGAAATACTAAGTGCAAACACACTGGGGTAGGAGTGTGCTGGGCATGTTCAAAGAATAGCTAGGAGACCTCTGCGGCTGGAGTGGAGTGAGAGGCGGAGAATTTGTAGTAGATGCCATCAGAGGCACTGGCAAGGCTGGGTATGTGACACTGAAGGTCATGGTAAGGACTTTGGGTTGACCTTGAGAGGGATGGGAGCCCCCAGAAAGTTTCAAACAGCAGTGATATTAACTGACCCTTTAAAACAATTCCTCTGACTACGGTGAGAACAGACTATAGGTGGTGAGGGTGGGAGAGGCAGACTAGTTAGGAGGCTATGATAGTAATCCAGGAGAAGCTAGAAGAGTAGATATCCAGGCTGCTGAGTTACAACATTAGAACTGATTCTAGTAGGCAATGAGGCGCTATTAGCAATTTGGGGGAGTGATGAAATCAGAGCTAAAATTTAGGAAAAATAATTAGCAGCAGTATTTATAATGGATTGGGTGAAAGAAAGACTACCACAATTTATTGTGATTAGAAATAATTTTTTTAAATTTCTATCAATATTAAGAAAGAAAAGAACAATTTATTGGAAGATATTAAAAGACTGAAGCAAGACAAACAGGCCCTTGAAGTAGACTTGGAAAAAATGAAAAAAGAGAGAGATCAAGCCAAAGAACAGATTGCTTATGCCACAGGTAAAACACTGAGCTAAATTAGTTTATACTGATAACTGTTCTAATCTTGAATTTAAGTAATAACAGTTGGATAATCAAAATGCTGTTCTTTTATTGTATGTTGTAATTTTAGCAACATTGTTTTAAACAGCAGTTTTTAATAGATATGTGTATTTGATTAATTTTAGCAGGAATAATTGCAAAATCAAAGAAAATCAAGGATTATTTTGTATTTGTGGCATTTGATGTTAGCTATTTTTATGTCTGTCGTCCCAGCTAGACTCTTACCTTCCTGAGAGCATGGTCTGTCTTTTTATCCCTGGGTCTGAAATGTAACTCTCAAGTATTTGCCAAATGAACAAATAACACGGCACTCTGTAGAAAACACAAGGATAAATATGGCATTTCCCACCAGAGAAAACAAAGGAGAAAAATAGAAGAATCCAGAAAAATTTAATATAAAAAAAATTACAAATAAACATGAGACATGGTGCTAAGTAAGGGTTTCAGAGAGGAGTGGTGTTTGAGCCGGGGCCTGACAGATGGTGAGATTCAGAAGTGGAGGAATAGAGGGTGGCTGCCCAGGCGTGTTTCATGTGCGTGTTACTGAGTGCACCCATGATGGGAGCATAGGCCAGCAGAACACAGGGCATTCAAGGTAGATCAGAGTTCTCATTTCTCACAATAAAGATTGTTCCTCTGTAATATTACCATCTTCCATGTAAGATGTGTACAATACAAATCCACTCACCTGTTTGGAAGAAATTTACTTTTACTTTCCTCATCTGTAAAATAGATTAAGAATAGTAGTACTCATCATATAAGCTTGTTGTAGTTAAATAAAATTGTGCTGGTAAATACAGTTACCCACTCCACTCGCTAATGGTTGCTATTGTTACCTTTTATTATAATTCTAGGAATTCTTTATTATCTCTTGAATCCAATATTTATTTTTCCATGGAAACAAGTTTACTTTTTGTAATGAAAATCAATGGGAAAATAATTGGAAGTATCAAAACTCCTACATAGCCAGCTTTGCTACTGGATTATGAGCATCTGGATTATGAATACAATCTTTGTCTCCTTCCTAATAAATTAAACAGGACACAATATCAATTGTTTTTGCCTCCTAATTTTTTCATAATGCTTTTGTTAAATAGGCATTGTTTTTCATTTAAAATCTTTTAATTTATTTTGAAAAATTACAATTAAGTTACTGAGTTACTTTATCTTATAGGTGAAAAATTATATGAGATAAAAATTTTAGAAGAAACACATAAACAAGAAATCAGTCGTCTGCAAAAAAGATTACAATGGTATGCTGAAAATCAGGACCTTCTGGATAAAGATGCAGTTCGGCTTAAAGAAGCAAATGAAGAGATTGAGAAACTCAAACTTGAGGTAATAGATCATTTCAGAATGTATTTCTGTAGATGAACTCTGTTCTCTTCAAAGGTCATTTCTTCTTGTGTCATTGAATCAATACTCTAAACTCTATTAATTAAAATATCTGATTTGGGTTTTTGTTTGCTTTCAGATGTGTAGTTTATTTTAAATTAGACTGTGAATAAATCCAAGCTCCTTATCACGACCTGCGCAGTCCCCACGTCTTCTGAACCCTGCCTCCCTCTCCAGCCTCATCTGAACCACATTCCCACAAGTCACTCGCCTCCAGCCACACTTAACCCCTCTCTGATTCTGGAACATGCCAGGTTCACTCTGCTTGTTACTGTGGCCTTGGTTCTTTCCATGTCTCACTCCTTCTCATTCAAGTCTCAGCTCAAATTTCTACTCCCAAGACGGACCTTCCCTGACTTCTTTATCTTACATAGAAGCTAATCCTGCCCTCTCTGACTCTCTTCCCATGCCTTCACTCTTTCATTTTCTTTATAGCACATGTCACTATCTGAGGTTATTTACTTACTGATTTACTTATTAGCTTATAACTGTCTCCTTCCACTAGAGCATAAGCACTGAAAGCAGGGAGCTGGCTCGGCTTGTTTGCGCTCCGTATCCAGCACAGTGCCATACCTGGGAATTAGTAAATGAATGATCTACCATTATGCTTCCGTCCTGGTGTTTCTCTGGTAGGTTTTACATATACTTCTTAACATGTTTTTACTTATTGATAGGTTGAGAAACTGAAAACTGAATCTGGAAATACATCTATTCAGCAGAAGATACGTTTAAAAGATAGAGCAGCTGATGCCAAAAAAATTCAGGATCTAGAACGACAAGTATGTGTTCAGGGTAAATTTTTATTAAGATATATTATATACAGCATTTGTGTTTTCAGGAGTTCCTATAAGATATAGTCAACCTGGAGATTCTTGTTTTTATTCATTTATTTTAATATAGAACTGCCCCTACTTTAAATATACCTGATATTCTGTATTTAAAGTAATATAAATAAAAGGAGTACATACCACCATTTTATATAACCTATAGCTTATGCATAAAGAATTTTTAGACTAATGTGTCTCATTAGATGATAGACCTATAGATGAAAGGTTATTTTGCATCACAACTCTATTAGACATCTAGAAAGAAGGAAGCAGAATTTGAAACTGGGTATAGAATTAGGATTCCTTCTGATGAAAGATAAGTGAGAGAGGAGTATAGGAAAGGAGATCCTTGAGTAGGAAATACATTAGTAATGTTTAGGAAGTGTTGCAAAACACCCTGGAAACAGAACATTCAGCCTCCCAAAGAGATGGCCATAATTTCGATCTCTTATTATTTAGGTTTAGAGATATTCAATTCATAGTCAATGTGGCTGGGAGACCCTTTTAAAAAATCCTGTAGTGACACTTATTAGGATAAAATTGTTTTCCATTGAAGTTTCTTTGTGGGATGGAATATTAGCTTTTTCTTTGTTTTCAAACTTTCTATAATGTAGCATTTCAATTCATAACTAAATACTAAAACAAAAGAAGAATTTCCAGCCCTGTTCATAAGGGAGCGTGATTCTATAGTCAAGTCACAACACTTAAATGTACAGCCATTATTCCATCACAAACCCAAAACTGTGAGGTCATCACTGAATATTATCCCAGTTTTAGGAGAAGAAGGAAAACTAAACAAAAAGATAACTTTGTTACTTTTAGACAAAGTAACCCGTTTTTATATGAAAAGGTATTATTTGGTATTTTGACTCAGTGGTCAGGAAAAGGGACTACAAAGGTGACTTGAAGAGCTAGAAATATTCTGAAGTAACTGTAGTCCAGGATTGCTTGGCTTTTTTTCAATGCTTAAGATTTAGATTAGCCAACATAGAAGAAGCCATCCAGAATTGTGAGAGAAAAAAACACTGAGGGAACTACTTCTCTAACAGATTATTTTAAGAGAAATAATGTAGAACTGATGTGTGAGAATAATAATATTAAGTGTGCTTAATAGCAAAATTAAGATGTAAAGTGGTGATCAATATTGACCATAAATAAAACGCTTTATAAAAATAATCTCTACCAATAATTTTCCCCAAAAAATGTAATATAAATTTCAAGATATCAAAATTAGGTTGAAAATATTTCTTAAAATTTTAAATGAATGCATTGTAAATATGTTAAATCCACTTTTAAAAATTATCTGTGGTATATATGTATGTACCTCTATGTACATCTAATTCAAATAACTAGATTTTAAATACCCAGAGGAAGCAAAGCTTTGAAAATTTTGCAGATGAAATGAATTATTCATATTTGTATCTGGATATATCCCAGTTTATGGTACATATGTGAATGTGCAGTCTTTATGAATGGAAATGTATGCTATTAACTTTGCAAGTGAGGGACCCTTAAATACCCAATATGAACAGTGTTCAATAGAAACAGGATTTTGAGCACCAACAACCCATCTTGTCTTAGGAAAGGTAATTTCTGAGATCTGATCACTATCTACTGGGCACTCTGCTAAGCACTTTACCAAGATGAGGCATTTGATCCTCACTTAATTGTATTAACACCATGAAATTGGTATTGTTATCATCCCCATTTTACGGATGACAAAAAAGATTTTGATGAGGATTTTTATGACACAGGTCATAAAGCTGGTGCCACGGTCTTACTCCAAATATGTTCTAACCACTGCACTAGACTGCCTCTCAGGTACTGTTTTATTTGATTGAATGCTTAGAGGCTAGAAAACTGTTCAACAAAGGCACTTAATGTTTTAATTTATGTTTTTCAAAGATATCTTAACCATAATACCCTTAACAAAAGCAGCTATATACATATATGAATATATAATATCAAGATCTAATTTCTGTGGACCCTGGTACAGTTGTTTCTTACAGAAAGACTATGTAATGTTATTGTTTTACAGACTAAATGAAAGTTAGTCTTTGCCATCTAATCCTCTTTCCTAATTGAAAGAAGTCATTTTAAAATAGGTTAAACATCATTTGGAGGGTGACGTTTGGAAGGAGGTTGAGATAGGGCGGAGATTGTTGCAGGCAGGCAGGTGCTTAGGCAGCTGTGTTCGTTGCAATAAGTTTGCACATGCGTGTGCCTGTAAGTAATTTTTCAGTCAGTAAATAATACAAGCATTATCATTTGAGGGGGTCTGTGGAAAAAATGTAGGAGAAAGAGCTTTGTCCTCAGAAAGAATGGTTATTACTAGTGAAGTCATATCAAGATATATTTCAAATGAAAGTAAGAAGATTTCTGTAAATTAACTAGTACTTAGATATTATACTATATGGTTTTTAAAATATAATCTAAGCATATAAAATTTGAAATTAATTTGTACTTCTGTGCATTTGATTCAGTCTTAGATGTGATGTAAACATCTCTTTGAAATCTAGACAATTATAATATATAGCATAATCTATATGAAACTGCTTAGTTTTAACATATTTGTGACCTTACATATATATAAAAATATTTTAATAGGTTAAGGAAATGGAAGGAATTATAAAGAGAAGATATCCTAATTCTTTACCTGCTTTAATATTGGCTGCATCAGTAGCTGGTGGTGATACAGTGGATAGAAATACAGTGGAGTTTATGGAAAAAAGGATTAAAAAACTAGAAACTGATCTGGAGGGTAAAGATGAAGAAGCAAAGAAAAGCCTTCGTACCATGGAACAGCAATTTCAGAAAATGAAAGTAAGTGCCAGGTAGCCATGGAGATGGAGCTCAGAGATGGACTGTGGGGGCTGGGACTTCTTAGATCTCATTTTAACAAATAGCTCTAAACATACTTTCCCACAAAAAAGGCACGGTACAGCATCTCCGATATATATTCAGTATAAAATGTTTTTTTTAATTACCATGGTTGAAAATATTTTCACTGAAATGTACATGTTCATAGGCCCATTATCACAGCTATCATAGGATACTGAAACTGTTGCCATATTGCTCTCCTCACCAGGCTGTGAACTCTTTGAAGGCAAGAACTGAGTTTTTTTATCCCTGAGTCTGGCCCTGTGCCTGGCACTCAGTCATAGCTAAATAAATATTCATTGAATGAACAAACAGACACTACTGGTGTCTCTTTCCACAGAGTAAAATAAACTATTTAGGTTATTTCATTTATAATACTAAATCTACAGGATACAAATTTCAAGCTGACTTACTCCCTATGCGATTTCTAAACTGATGTTACAAAGCTGAAAATGTGCTATTTCTTAAAGACTTTAGTACCCCCAATTGCTTTCCCTGTTTTATCTTCAAAGAGTATAATTTGTCAGTTTGCATAGAGAAGGGTATACTATACTAGGTTTGATTGTGAGGCTTAAAAATAAGTTTTGGGGTGTACAAAAATGTGTAAATTAATGTTTATGAAGCAACATATCAATTATGAAATGATATAACATATATTGAGAATATATGATGTTCTGCCCGTCAAAGGCTAGGACTTCAATATACTGACACAGAGTTGGAGGCATCAGAGCCTGAATGAAGGAATGGGTAGGTCCTGGTGGAATGCAGGGCTTCGTTAACAGTGGTTAACTTCGTTAGCTGTGGTTTTGGCATTACATGGATTCTTTTCTTCAGATTCAGTATGAACAGAGACTAGAGGAGCAGGAGCAGCTACTTGCCCACAAATTGAAGGAAGCATCCCAGAGCCAACATGACAACTCCTCCAGGGTTAAGGCACTAGAGCAAGAACTTGATGACTCTAAGGAAGCCCATCAAATCACTGTAAGGAAACTTGAAGCTGAAATAGACACTCTTAAACATCAGAATGCTGAATTGGAACTCAAGAGGAATGATAAAGATGATAAAGATTTCCAGTCTATAGAATTCCAGGTGGAACAGGCTCATGCTAAAGCTAAACTGGTGAGGCTCAATGAGGAGCTGGCTGCGAAGGGGAGAGAAATACAGGACCTTTTGAAAACTGTGGAGAGGCTTCAGAAGGAGAGAAGGACGATGCTGTCCACTCAGAACTCTAAGGGTAGGGAGGAAATGCCTGCAAAAAGGGTGAAGAAAGATGCTTTGCATCCAGGTAAAGGAAATGCTAGTTCCTTCCCTGGAACCATGGATGGCAGGCTGTACCATCCACATACTTTTACCGATTCCCACATTTCAGAAGTTTTACAAGAAAACTACAGATTGAAAAACGAACTGGAGAGATTAAGTGTGGAGAGGAATGAGCTGAAGACGCAATCTGAAGTAGCTATGAACCAGTTCGAGAATTCCATAAAGAGGTAAAATGTGAATCTGTAAATATATGGGGACATAAAAAGATAAAAGTTTAGAAATGACAAGATGTAGTTCTTCTGAATAATTAGTTTGACCCGGAACTGAATCATACCCAGATTTTAAGAAATTGTATTAGATTGCTAAGCGTAGATCTGTTGCAGGATGCTCTACCTGTTGGAAGCCCAGGTTCTGATGAACCCGAGTCTCCATGTCAGCCCAAGCCATGGCCCTGGTTTGACCAGTCTCGTCTTAGTGCACGTATCCAAATGGTGTTAATAAGCTGACCCAGTGGGCCTTCTTGCAAATGAATATCATTACTTATGATGCCTTAGACAGATTGCTGTCAGCAAACAGCTATTATGAAACCTAGTTGACATTATAGGAGGAAAGGGTCCTTTCTTCCAAACTCTCTCTTTACATTAATCTTGTGATCACATCCATTCATGCCTTGAAGAACTTTTAAAGTCATTCTTTTCCTTCTCAGAATCTCCAAGTACTACCTGCTCTCTCTCCTCTAAGCCTTCTGACATGCTTTTCACCTGATCAAACTAGTTCTGGTTCTTTTTCTCTGTCTTTCTGTACCAGTTTTCCACAAGTAGCCTCTTCTTTGATTTCCACCTCACTTTCTCTTACATATATGGCTGTCATCCTCACTATTCTTTTAAACCTGGTCTCAGTGATGACCTTTCTCAGTACCATGGAGTTTTCTCCATCCTCATTTCCCTTCACATCGTTGACTAAACTGCCTTTCCTAAGGGACGTTTCCTCCCTTAATGTCCGTGACTTGGCAACTGAGTAGTAAACGTTTTTCTGTTCCTTTTAACTGACTCCTGACTCCTCTTCACTCTCCCTCCTCAAAAATCTGACTTTCTATGTCCAACTTGCCAGATTTCTTCACTGCCTTTTGCTCGTTCATGTTTCAAGTCCAACCACTTCCACAAAATATTTCCTAGAGCTTCCAAGAAATCTTCTGATTCTTCCTCCAACTTCTACATAACTTATGTACCAAGAAGGCACTAACCATAACACTGCCTTGTAGCTCCTTGAGAACTGATGTAAGACTACATTTCTTTTGCAATCCTCAAACAATAGGTTTGCTTGTGAGATTTAAAATATCTTGGGCTATACAAAAACATGTGTAAGTTAATGTTTATGCAGCAACATGTTAATTATGAAATTATATAACACTGAGAATATATAATGTTTTGCCTAATCAAAGGTTAGGACTTCAGTATATTTGACTAACTCAAGGAACACGGAGTTGGAAGCATCAGAATACATAGTGAGTGCCTGAATGAGGGAGTAGGTAGGACCTGGTAGAGCTTCTACTACAAGAATGAGCATAGGAAGCACCTAACAAATGCTTATTGATTGACTGGCAGCATGTTTCATTGCGTCATCATGGGAACCATATTGCTTCCAAATTGAAACTTTGTTTCTTTAGTCCCGAATGCAATAGATAGTAGCAGTGAAGCTATTTGGAATTCTTTCCTAAAAATAATTTGAAATTCAGGTTTTTCCTATAAATTTTTCTGTAAATATTTTTTTAGTATGTGAATTTGTTTCACTGGGTCTGAGAAGTTAGTAATCACCTTTCTAGTTCCAGATTTAGGCTGTTTTTTATTATGGTTCAGTTATATCATGGATGCTTTAGATTTTTATGACTTTTTTCAGTATTTCCATGAAGAAATACTCATAGTCAAATAAGCAGCTATCATATCTGTTTCTAGTTTGGGAATTGTATTAAGTATCAACAGTGATTTATTAAATATCTGCTTTGATTAAAATTTGTCATTTTTAAATATTCCAGTGAGAGGAAATACTTATCTATAAAAATGTATCAACTCTTTAGTCATAAAGTCATACAGGTTTTATCATTTACTAAACTGCCTCTGAATGCATAAATTTTGTTACAGAGACAAGTGAGTAGTCTGTCACACTTAACCATCCAAACTAATTAGGTTCAGTTACCCTGTTTCTTAAGAGTTACTGGAAAAATCCTTTTATTCTCATAACCTGCTGCTAGCCTGCAGTCATATGCATGGACCAAAAACTGGAGAATGTTGCCTGGAGACAAAGCATTGGAGATTCTAAAGGGAACGACTTTGATTATCCAAATAAGAATCTGGGCAAGAAGTCTGACTTTATCTTAAAAGATAAAATGACAGGCCTTTCACCTAAAATCCAAATAGAACAGTTAGAACCCTTGTTTCCCTCAGGAAGTGCCGGCCCAGACTAGGGGAAGAGTGGAAAGCCCTGCTCAGACTCTGAGGTTCAACCCAGCAGGGCTCAAACCCCAGCTCTGCAACTTAATGATCTGGTACCCTAGATACATCACTATTTCCTAAACTCAAGTTTGTCCTTATAAAATTCAGTAAATAATAGTGAGCTCATGGAGTGGTTACAGGCAATAATGTATAAATTACCTAGCTCAGTGTGGTAGATCGATATGGGACTCTCTCCCTTGCTTCTTTAATTTCCAGGCTTCTTACACTATTTTTGTGCTAACTCTGAATTCAAGGTTGAAGAACCACTTATATCTGTGGTTTTCTTTCTTTTGCTCAAAAGGATCAAGGAAGATACAGCAGCACACATCACATCTCTCAAGGAATCTCATCAGAGGGAAGTAGAGAAACTCCTTTGCCAAAACGCAGTAGAAAATTCTTCTTCCAAAGTAGCTGAACTGAATCGTAAAATAGCAACTCAAGAGGTGGATGATTTTAACAAGCTTTTTTTTACTTTATTGTTTTTTTTTTTTCAGTACTGCTAACAGAACATTGATTTGGAAATATTTTAACTTCACTTTTTTAAAAATTGGTGATAGAAATGGTAAATTATTGTTGACTTGATTTTGCTTTTATGTGAGCAGATGCAATTACCATATGTTTAACTATTTTACTTTAAGTTATACCTCGAAATAAGTGTTTTTACAGGTTTGTCCCTACATTTCTCAAATACATCTTCATCTAAATAGGTTGTAATGGATGGCTGAGAGGTATGTCTACTGTGATTGGGACCTTAGTACTTGAACTTGAATGTTGAATCATCTCTTTCTACCCCAAGTCCCAACTGCCAAGTAATTGTCCTAGTCATTCTTGCTTCATTACCTTTTATTCATTAAACAAATAATGATGCAGAGCCTATAGACAGTCAGGCCCTGGGGATAAAATGACAGAGAGATAGATACACACATCCCGAGCCATTATGAAGCATAATCTTTTAAGAATTATAACTGGGTATGCTGACAGCTCATCTGAATTCCCTTATTATTTAGGGTAGTAAGGGTGAAATGTGATGAGGTCTGTAATTTAATCTCAGATATCTCAGAAACAAAGAATTTTGACTGTTTTTAATACTTCAGTGAAAAAGATTTGTGCTTTTCAAAGTAACCATTGTACAGCCTTCCAGATAACTTCTCTAGCTTTCTTCCCCCATAGGCGTGGGGTGTCAGTGGGCAGTGTGAACATTATATCAAGTGATTATATAGAAGGAGCAGTCTAGGAGAGGTGGGAAAAGTAGTATCATTATGACATAGTGCCATAAATGTTACTTTCCCAGAATTCTAAATGTAATATTGCGAATTATGAGTTAAATGGAAGTCAGTGTAATCTGATCGTAAAAACAGTAAAGTATTACAGATAAGAGATGTGAATTTTTCCTAAGTTTTTGCAGTTTCTTCATGGAAGTATTTATATATTTCAGTTTCTTTGTCTAGAAATATAAGACTGACATTTCACAGATATTATTAGGCTTGTGTTATCTTAGTCAATAGTCTTTAATAAAAACTATTATTCTACTTAATGACAAGATGTAACAATAATATTGGCCACTTTGTTCAAAATGCTTTGACTTTATAGAGGTTTATTTTAAAAGGTATTTTTCAGGCCTTTAGAAGAAAAGTACTAGAGATAAAGAAGCCAAGTAGTTACATAGTCATTAATTTGTAATATGTATGATGCTTTATATTAAATGTTGAAAGAAACAAAACAATGAACTTATTCAATAAGTTTAATTCATTCGATGAACTTAATTCCTATGGGAATTTATGTTAGAACTTTGTAATTTTAAAATATTAGGATCCTTCTTATTTTTTAGTACAAATAAAAGTTATTAGTTGGCTTTCTTATATTTTTCAAATAATATTCAAGGAAGAGCTTTATTAACTTAGTACTTCTAACATAATTTCCTAGGTACTTATAAAACATTTCCAAAATCAAGTTAATGAACTGCAGGGTAAACAGGAATCTCTTGTTGTTTCTCAAGTTCGAGAAGAAATCCTACAGAAAGAGGTAAGAAATAACGAAAATATTGGGCTAAAATAAGCCTCTCTTAGCCATTTCAATCATATTCATATTTTTTCATAAACTTTTTAAGTTAAATATACAAGTAGACATGAAAATATATCACGTCAAGAAAATATTAATAACTTGTGTATGGAAAGTCTGCTTTCCCCACATGCTCAAATATTAATTAAGTTATTTATATGTTTGTATTTGTTGTTGATATTTTCTGGGCAATGGGGAAATAGGATTGTTTGGTTCTTTTGTTTGATTTTTTGTTCAGTAAATTGGGTGGTTAAAGGCATTTCTGCATTAAGTACTAAGACTATTTAATTTCTTTAAGAAATAGGTAAACCAATCTTGACATTAATGCTGGATCACCAATAATAATATTGTATGAAACAGATCTTTCTGGAAACCCACCATTTTTATTATCCTTTTGATTCTAGGTATCAAATCTTAGAGTAATCCTTTCCACACCAGGTATTTCAGTCCGTAGAAAGTCTTCCAAGCCCAGATAGTTTTACCAGTTGGGGTGTTGTTACCACAAGCAGTGTGCCTGGTACACAAACATCCATCTTTACTGAGAGAACAGAGCTAGAAATTTAATTGAATCCAAGTCAGCTTCTCATGCAGAAGGAGAATTATAATATATTAACCCTTTACCCATATCCACTTAGTACTTGCTAGTGTTTTTAAACTCTCTCAGCCTCAGGTTTTTTTAAAGCTATTAAATGGAATATGCTCCACTTCTTAGCATTCTTCATTTATTTTTTTAAGTACTCAGTGAACAGGAGTTTATCACTATTGACAGGCTTTTGGGATATAGTAATGAATAAAATACCTGAAGACCTTACACTCAAGGAGCTCGTATTCTAGTGGGTGGGACAGAAAAACAGTCAAATTATTCTCATTAGTGTTATTGATTTCTATCCCTGTTGAGCATGATGAACTCAATATTTAGTATATTCTTTTGCATATGAATATTAATATATATTAACATAGAAAAATTAGAAGGTATAAAACTGCCTCTGATCCCGCCACGTAGATGTCTATTATGGTGTATATCCTTCCAGGTTTTTTCTATTTGTACATATATAGAGATAATAGAAATAGTGTGAGTGTGTGTGCTTATGCATGCACACATGCAAAATACATGTTTATTTGTGTATATGTGAATGCATATACATGATTTTATTTTTAACCTAACAGTATGTATAAATGTCTTTCCATGTCAATGTGTATCTTTTTCATTTTTCATTTTATTAAGATTTAATTGACATACAGCACTGTAAAAATTTAAGTGTACAGCATAGTGATTTGACTTACATATATCATGAAATGATTACTATAGTAAGTTTAGTTAGCATCCATTATTTCATAGATACCAAAAAAACCCCAGTAAAAATAGTGCTGTTTTCCTTGTCGTGAGAGCTGTTAGAATTTACTCGCTTAACAACTTCATTTTCAACTATAGTCATCATGTTGTACATTACACCCTTAGTACTTACTGATCTTATAACTGGAAGTTTGTATCTTTTGACCCTCTGCATCCAATTTCCCCTCCCCCACCTCATCCCCAGTAGCCCCAGTCTGATCTCTCTTTCTGTGAGTGGGGAGGCAGGGTGCTGCTTGTTTTTTGTTTTTGGATTCTACATATAACATCATACAGTATTTATCTTGTCTGACTTATTTCACTGAGCATAATGCTCTCAAGATCCATCCATGTTGCCACAAATGCCAAGATTTTCTCCTTTTTTTTTGCTGAATATTATTCCATTAGTCTTGGTAGTGTCTTTTTCTGGCTGTTCTCAGGGTATTGCTGGCCTTGTAAAAGCCAGGCTTACTCGAGACTCAGGACTGGATGTTATACTCAGCAGTAGATGGGCCTATGAATTAGCTTCTCTGCGCTGGCAGGGCAGCAGGACAGGACTGAGGGCCTGCTCAGCTTGTTGGTTGGGCCTGAATCAGGCAAGGCTGTGCACTGAATCCTTTGGCCAGATGGGGCCATCTCTTTTACTCTGTAGGTAGGGAGACCCACAGGCTGTGCTCTCTGTTCAGTTGCCTCTCTAAGCTGTGCTCTGGTTAGGTTCCCTGGTCAGAGGGACTGAAAGCTGTTCTATTCAGCAGTGGGAGGGGCTGCAAATTAATTTTCCTGAGTAGGCACAGTGGGAGAACCAGGTCCACTGCTCCTAAGGCCTTTTGTGGTCTTGACTCGAGCCAGTCAGTACACCAAACTCCCTGGCCAAACAGGCTACTGGCCTTGCTCTGTAGGTTTTCAGTTCTGCCAGCCGGACTGTCTGCCCTATTGCTGGGCTACACAGGTTCCCAGGTGTTCCAGTCAGGCTTTCTGGTTGGGTGGGGCTGTGAGCTTCACTTAATGGTATGTCAGGCTAGAGTCAGCTCTCCTGCCTGAGCAGGTACAGACCAGGCTCCGGGGCTGGCACTTCTCTTGATTTGAGGATCTCCATCAGGCAGACTGGCACTCCACCAAGTTCCCTGGTCAGACTTGGTCTGCATAGGAGCAGAGCTGCTGCATGGGATTACTACTTGGGCTGGGCAGATAGGAACTCTTATCTGTCAAGCCTGAGTGCTGGTTGTTGCAGCCCCTTCCCGCTTCTTTGTCTTGATCAGATTCCTATTGTCAGCGCCCCACATAGTCCCCTACAGTCCCCGTGGGGCAAGACTGGAGTGGAGACTCCCAAGAAGTGACTCAGAGCTGGGGTAGCTGGGTGTCCACCCTAAGCTCTTTTGTTCCATTGGAGGAACCGTAAGCTCAGTCAGGGGAGTCTTTTAGGTGTGCTGCTGAGCCAGCCCGGGGGAGTGGTGGTGCAGTCAGCGTGTAGCTATTCTTCATAGCCTTCTAATGCCGTCTGTCTTGGTCTCTGTGGTTTGGTTCGGGGGTGCGAGTGCTTTAGCCTCACCTTTGTGTTCTAGGATTCTCTCAGTGGTTTCTTTTCCATGAATAGTTGTTAGTTGTTGTTCTCAGGAGGAGGAGCAAAGTCAGGAACCACCTTTCTCGCTATGTTGGTGACGTCACTCTTTCTGTGTCAGTATATATCTTTATTAGCACTTTTATTATACCATTTTATAATTAAGTAAAAATAACTTATTATTACTAAATGTTTAGTATGTACAAGGCACTGTAATATGTGCTCTATGTGGCTGTCATCATAACCCCAAAGGATAGGTACTATTCCCATTTTATAGATAAAGAAATTGATGCTAAGAAAAATGAAAATAACTTGCCTGAGGTTACCAAGCCCCTATCATTGGACACTCAGGTTGTTACTGGTTTTTTCTATGGTATTCAAGTAATGAGAAGCATTTTTGATCCTGTATCTTTGCTTAGGTATCCAGTTGTCTTAATAGGATAAATTCACTAAAATACAAGAATTTTTTAAAAAATAATTATTCAACTTTAATGATACTCTTAAAGGTGCTATGAAGTAAATACAAATGAAGGGAAGTTCCCTCTATTCTTTGTCTAGAACCAAATTTCTGAATTTATATAATTTATAAATGAATGTTTAGTCATTGAAAGGTGAATTCATTAATTAATTGATGAATAATTGTTAAACACCTACTGTGTTGTGCACAGCTCTAGGTGCTAGGAATAGTGAGTAGAACAAAATAGACAACTCCCTGCCCTCATGGAGCTTATATTTTATTTGGGGAATCAGACAATAAGTAAATGTAATGATTGATAAATAAAATTAACTAAGACAACATCTGTAAAGTACTTAAAATAGCACCTAGTACATGATAATGTCATGACTCACTACTACTTGTACTTTAAGACTGATTCAAACACCGATGTCTCCGGTTAAGAATCCTGTGGCTCAGCTCCCTTTCGAGTTAGGTTTCTCTCACTTATCACTCACTGTTTCTTGGGCATCCCTCCATCATAGCACATAATACTGTAATCCTAATTCACCTAGCTCCTTTATTCACTCAGAGTACCAGAAAAGGGTTACCTGTGGATCACAAGATAGTTATGCTGGTATGCTATGAAACTCAAAATAATTTTTCAGTCATTAAAAAGTTTACAGAAGTTGAAGTGATATTTGACCCTTACATGTATGACAGGGCCTCTGGCAACTTTTGAGTTCAGAATCATCTTTGTTTGTTTACAATTTTTAGTAATCATTGTTTTGATACAAGATTTTTATGTCCATCACCCATCACAACAGCATGTTCTGTAAGGATCTCCCTGGCCTTTCTGCAAATTATCCAATTAAAGTTTGCATATTTCTTTTGTCAAAGATGTTCCACATTTAAAATATTTAGATTTGCTTCTGACTTAAAAATACAGGCAAATTATCTAATTAAGGAAGAATGTGTGTGTGTGTGTGTGTGTGGGTATGTATGTGAATATATGTGTGTAGATTGTGTGTGTGTGTGTGTGTGTGTGTGTGTGTGTGTATGAATATATGTGTAGGTGTGTGTGTATACACATATATTTAGTATTCTCAGTGTTATTAGATACTGGTGTTTCCATGTAAAACATTATTAAATTTGTTAATTTTATCCATTTTCATTTGCTTTCAAATTATTTTGCCTTTTGATGTTAACAGTTTGCAAATTATCATAATTATATGGTATAAGGAAAATATAATTGTTTCATTAAGCCCAATGTAAAGATCCCTCACATCCCCTCCATTTAACTCCCTGGTGACATAAAAATATTACCATTTTCTCTGTAGGCTATGATATGAAAAAGGAGGTACTGCACTAGACTGTAACCTCAATGAAGACAAGGACTATGTCTTTCACCTTTGCAACCTCAGGACCTGTGACAGCAGCAAGCACAGAAAGAGTTCTTTACTTCATTGTGTCTACTTTATATGTATACATTTATGGAATGAATTATAAATTATTGGGTTGTCAAAAAGTCATGATGCATTTTTGCAACAAAAAACATAGAAAAAATACGTCATGACTTTTCCAACAGCCCAATATACTGTGATAAGAGCCAGAAGATTACAAATAGAATTATAGGGTGTTGACAAAAGAAAGACCCATATTTACTGAACTCTTTCTGTGTGTTGGGTGCTTTAAATGTATTATTGAATCCTAAAAGTAATCACCCTATTAAATACTTTGTAGCAAAGCTGAATACACCAAAGAAAAGTGCCTAGCCTAATTTTGAGGACCATAAACCAGCCTGGCATACATAGGAGGGTGAAGGTGATCCAATTATCTGAAACCCTTTGGAATGTGAGGTCAGTTCAGAGCTAAGATGAGCCTTAACTTCCTAGACCTAGGGAATGAAAGCTATTAATCTAAAAATTAAAGATATGTTTGTTAACAAGAGCCTCTTATATAGAGAAATTTTATATAAAGAAGATGTGGTAAACATTCTTACTTCTTAAGACTACCTGTTATAAAAATGAATTAATTCCTTGTTATCATAGTTTCTCATTTACTTTATACCTCAATTTTAGATTACAAAACTCTTAGAAGAATTGAGAGAGGCCAAAGAAAACCATACACCAGAGATGAAACATTTCATGGGCTTAGAAAAGAAAATTAAACAGATGGAAATGAGACATAAACAAAGAGAGCAGGAACTTCAACAGGTAAGATGGTAAATCACATTTACATATTTGTATTGTTCTTCACGGTCAAGTACCTTCAGATTGCTACAGTTTTGTCATCCCTAGTAAAACTTACTTCAAGTGTTTCCATTTTATTTGATTGATCTTATTAAAAATAAATATATAGCTTTTAATAGAAGAATAAGACTTTAAATCTCAAATACCTGAAGATTGACTTGCCTTACATCTGAAGAAACAGAGAAACAACTCGTATCATGCTCTTAATCATTGATAGGTACCTAAAAATGTCAAGGCATCTCAATAAATGTGTGTATGAAATAGATTTACATTAAAATGTGATCATTTAAATTATTATGTGCCTAGCACTAGTACCAATAATAGGATTACTATATTTAATTACAGATACATTAATAGAAATTTAAAATGGCAGACAGGCGTGATATGTTTTAGTCATTAGCCTTGGTGCTGATATTTAGCTTTGCCTGAACAGTGTATTAGTTGGCTTGGACTGGCACAACAAAATATTATAAACTTGGTGGCTTAAAAAAACAGAAATTAATTTTATCACAGTTCTGGAGACTAGTATTCCAAGATCAAGGTTCCAGCTGCCTCACTTTCTGGTGAGCGCTCTCTTCCTGGCTTGTAGATGGCCTTTCCTGGGTATGTGCACTGTGGGGTGGGGGAGGGGAAGAGCCACAGAGAGTTCTCTGATGACTCTTATAAGGACCGTGATCTTATCATAATCTAGTAATGTTTGGGGCTCCACCCTTGATACCTCATTTAACCTTAATTAGTTCCTTACTCCAAATACAGCTACACTGTGATCAGGGCTTCAATATCACATGAGGGCATGTAAGCATTCAGTCTAAAACAGTGTAAATTTATATATTCTTTAAAAACAAAAAATACCACAGACACACAAAGCTTTATGGTGGACTTCAGTTCCACAAAGTGACCGTAGCTCAATTTAATCATATCAAGATTGCAGCTTTTTATCATTATAGGAACTACAAAATGTGAAATGTAGCACAAAGAAATTAATGACATTTTTTTCATCCTTACTCATAGAGGTTTATTTGTGTACTTCTCTTAAAAACACACTGTTTACTGAGAAACCATCATCCATCGTAGAATTAAGGCATCACAATGTATCACTATTTCACCAGAGCCTACCTTTATGTGTCACTTTATAATGACAGTTTTAGAAAACGGTTGTAAGTTGTTGATAAATATGTTTAATATTCTCTTCCTTACTTGTTATAGGCACATATTGTATTATGCCTTATGACAAATTATAATTTGTAGTGCTGTTATAAATAAAAGGGATTAATAAGATATATATGTGTATAGACAGAGGGTGCCATTAAAATGTATACACATTTTGGGCCGGCCGAGTGGCGNTTATTGTTCTTCCTGTACACACACACACACACACACACACACACACACACACACACCCTGTCCATCTCTCTTTTCCCCTAGGATCTTCTAGAGGAATTGTCATCATCGTTGTCATCATAATGATGACAATGATGACACAGTCCTGTCAAGCACTCTGACAAAGAACAAATCATTGCAAAGCTGTCACAGAAATAGGCTTAAAGGGAAATAACTGCTATAGTGTTTGCGGAATCAACTAATACTTCACCGTTACTTTTTTAAAAATTTTATATCACTGTATTTAAGATTTGAATGTGAATTGTCTTTAACTACTAATAAAGATGCTACTTTAGGACAAAAATCTAAGAGGACTTCTAACTCCTAACAAACTGTCCATTAGCCTTTTAAACACATGATGCTTTAATAAAAATTAGTGCTGTGCTAAACAAACAGGATTCGTACAATATCACCAGATGTAACAAATATGGAAAGACTAAGGAAAGAAGACAAAAAGCTATTCATAAGCATCTTGAAGCTTAAATTGCTCACAGGAGAAACCATTACAAAGGTGAGTGTCACATGACATAATGCCTGAGTGTGATGAGAAAGCTGGTTTTCCTACTCATATATTTATGCTGCTAATTTGTTGGGTGCTAAAACAATTTCCTCATTGGATTTGTTCCTAATAAGTATGGAACTGTTTAGACTCTACAAATGCAGGCTAAACACATTCCCGTGCTGCCAGATCACTGGATTGAATTTCTCCCATAAGAACAATATGATTATACTCCATACAAAAATTTTCCCTGAGAATAATAGGCTTTTAAAGGGCAAAAGCATAATTGCAATCTCCTATCCCTCACTGGAGGGCTAGAGTAGGGCTGGAGAGGACCAGCAGAAAGGAAATCTACTAGGTCTGAATCGAGGTACCTATGCCATGGTAGCCAAAGATATTGATATGTTTAAAGATATGACATTC